CAGAGGATGATGGGAAATGTAGTTTGCATTTTAATGAAGGCTTTTTTTGTAGCTCATTCTGTGTTTGGATTGACATGATGACAAAATGTATTACTTTAACCATACTTATAAAAAAATGATGTTCTTCCTCAGTGTTTCTGTCTTGTTTTCCAGCACAAATATCTAAACATTCTTAAATCAAGATACATTCACTGGAGAAGAAGCGAAATGACTGAAGATATTAAGTCTGGAAAATGCATCAAAATGAAGTGAGTTTGTGTTTAAAACAAGAACAGAGATCTGCCAATGCAGTCAGAAAAAGAAACTTCATTTAAAGGGATATAAAGATATTTGTTCTTGTTTTAAACACAAACTCACTTCATTTTGATTAATTTTCCAGACTTAATATCTTCAGTCATTTCGCTTTAGATATTTGTTTTAGATAATGTTAAGATATTTTTTTAGTGAAGTATCCATTTCTTTAATAACTTGACTTTTCATCTGTATCTAATATAACCCAGAATTACCTGTGTTTCCACACACAGATAAACACTATGGGTTGTTTTAACCCAATTTTGGGTCAAATATGGACAAACGCAGCCGCTGGATTACATTTTTAAATTAGAATTTTAACCCAACGTTTGGGTTTGTTCATATTTGACCCAAAATTGGGTTAAAACAACCTAGCATTTTTTAGAGTGAATAAAACTCAGTTCGAGGAGGATATTCTGAATCTGATATTTGCATGACTCAAAATTCTGATAAATATATTCATGGATGAATGAGAATTGAGTTGATTGATTTACTATTCAAAATTTCAACAACAAAAAATAGCAGTATAATAATGGCAAAAGCATCTCCAGTATTTCCAATTACGCTGATTATATCCTCTTTAAATATCATGTTTAACTTTAATATTAGTGTACTCTTTCTCAGAGCAGCTCTTTGATGCGTTCTCTTTTGCATTTTATTAATCTTCACTTGGAAAATAACACGAAAAGATCCAACACTGTGGAGAAGATCATTAGTTTGCAGTGTTTAATTATGTGAATGCTTTATATTGTTGAATGTGTTTGATGTTGGATCCGTGATGACGAGGATGATGAAGATGAAGATGATGATGATTGCGTTACACTGTTTGTGTGAGACGCTCAATGAGACGCTCTTCTAGTAAAACATTTTGTTAGTATATTTGTAATGTAGATGAAAAAGGGAATATATTTCAAATACAATAAAGTATACTTTTCTTTCACTACACTGCAAAAATGCTTTTCTTACTCAGTATTTTTGTCTTGTTTCCAGTCCAAATATCTAAAAAATTCTTAAATCAAGAAGCATTTTCTTAGGTAATAAAATGCCATAAGGTGTCTTGTTTTCTGGGGGGAGAAGATCAAAACGAAGTGGGTTTTTGCTTAAAACACGCTAAATGATCTGCCAATTCAATTCAATTCAATTCAAATTTATTTGTATAGCGCTTTTCACAATACATATTGTTTCAAAGCAGCTTTACAGAAAGTACATTTCAGAAATGTACATAGAATAATATAGGGTGTGAAATGGGGTCTGAAAAATAATCTTGTTTCTGTTTGAATTAAAACTAAGTTGAAAATAGGACATAATATCTTATGGCATTTTACTACCTAAGAAAATGCTTCTTGATTTAAGAATTTTTTAGATATTTGGACTGGAAACGAGACAAAAATACTGAGTAAGAAAAGCATTTTTGCAGTGTAGGGACATAATTAGTTTGCAGTGTTTAATTATGTGAATGCTTTACACTCTAAAAAATTCTGGTTTGTTTTAACCCAATTTTGGGTCAAATGTGGACAAACCCAAACGTTGGGTTAAATATTTCATTTTAAAATGTAATCCAGCGGCTGGGTTTGTCTAACCTGGCCCTAGCCAGATGAATTTCGCTCCGCCTAGCTTCACTCTTCCATCTGGAACCGATCCATTGAAATGGCGTTTCAGAAGGCTGGGCCTTATCAAAAATCCTTGCATATGATTGGATAAGCCACTTGTCTGTCATCTTTATCGACGTGCTATTTCAACCACTCACACCGAAGCCAACCCGTGACGCTGAAGAATCCGGTCGGGAGAAGGCACTGATCTATATAACATCGTTTCCACCAACAAAAGCCTTAAGAGCCGTTCTCTGATGTTCTTTTAATGAAACAATATTAGGTAGATTGGACAACACAGATGAAATAGCAGCATCAATGTTAACGCTTGTTTCCTCGATGCGAGCCGCCATTGTTGTCTGAATCAAAACAGTCTCACGGTCGCTTCTCCACTACGTCACATCTATGAAACTCCCGCCCTGCGTCCTGATTGGCTAAACCATAAAGTTTGTTGGAGAAATCACTCTCAATGGAAGAGGTTCCAGATGGATGTGAGTGAAGCTAGGCGGAGCGAAATTCATCTGGCTAGGGCCAGGTTAGGGTTTGTCCATATTTGCCCCAAAGTTGGGTTGAAACAAACCAGCAGTTTTTAGAGTGAATGTGTTTGATGTTGGATTGGT